TATTGAAAATTATTTTTATGTCACATTGAAAGGTTTTAGGTGAATAAAAACACTTTTATTCTGAGACATTTTAGAAATTATTTTAAAGGCATTTTTGTGGGACCAGCAGTTGGTGTAATGGTTATGTCGCTGGACTCCCATGTAGTCAACTGCCGTTTGAGTCCTGGACCCAGTGGTTTAAACTCACACCAGAGATGTGTTCGTGCATGCCCAAGATACTGAGAAGAGAATGGAAGAGAAGGGATTGTGGTGTGACCATCACCCTGAGGGGTGATTTCTCACTTTCTGTCTCTCTGTCTTGCTCTGTCTTTCTGGCGATTGTGTGCCCTATAGCAAAAACCTCTCAAAAAAAAAAAAAAAAGAAAAGAAAAGAAAAAAAAATTAAAAGGCATCTTTGTTAAAGTTAATAAAGTAGTTTTCTGCAGGGTAGTAAATCCAGAGATTGAGAATGAAAAACAAGGTTAGGAAATGCAAATACATTAGATCTGGATCTAAATTGTTATAATTTAAAGTATTTTTTTAAAGAAAAATATATTCCTCATTAGGATTTTTCTGCATTTACCCCCCAAGGTTTTTGCCATAGGTCATGTGTACCCCAGAGAGACAGAGAGAAGGAAAGTGAGAAATCACCCCCCAGGAGGATGGCCACGCCACAATCCCTTCTCCTTTCTCCCCTTGGGATTTGGGGCATGCACACACACATGCCTGATGTGATGTTCAAGTCTCTGAGTCCAGGACACCAACCACGGTCGACGATGAGGGAGTCCACAGGGCACACACAGGCGAAGGGCATTACACCACTGATCAACAACAGAAAGCCTTGCATTAGTCCAGAAACCACTGTGACACTGTTTGCTCCAAGAGGCTGTCTGCATTTCTAGATGTCAATTTTACAGAAGAGCAAACACTTTGTTCTACATCATCTGTCACATTGCCTACGGCACTGCAGTTGGAAGAGCTTTATGCTTGCTCCATTTTGCTAGGCTTTCCATTAGTTTATTTTGTTGATTTTTGCTCTGAGAGGACAAAAAAGAACCCACAATGTCTATTCTAATATTCTCTTATATTTGTAAATAAAAATCTTCCAAAAAGGCCCTCAAGCAGGGTTATAAATGTCTCATGATATTGTTTGGGACAGATGGATATTATAAGGCAACTCATATGGGAGTATATCATTTTTATGCTCACCTTTTGACATAAATTCTTAAGCAACACATAATCTTCATTGGTTTTAGACTCAATTTTAGTAAGTTCCTTGCTTAGGTAAAAATAACATTTGAAAATAATATCTCTTTCAAGTATTCAGTTTCTTACATGAGAAATAAAATTAGGTTTAAATGTTACTTGACTAAATTATCTAATCATTTAAAAATTCAAGAGTTAAACTTTGAGAACATGCTTTAATGCACTTGAAATATAATACATGAATCATTGTTCCAAAAAATGTGTTCTCACCTTTCTCCCCAGAGCACTAATTCTTAAAATTGCGATGTTTAATTTTCCATTGTTGGAAAGGGAAATGAGTATTTTCATAGAAAAGATACACATACCCCCACCACACATACACATGCATACACACACACACACACACACACACACATTTATCCATACAGGAGGTCTTCCGAAAGTTCATGGGACATGTACAGTATAAAAAAACTAATCATAGGGCCAACAGGTAGTGTGGTGGTGAAGGTGCCAGAGTCCCACATGGGACCCAGCAGCTTAAAAGAAATCACACCGGGTGCATGTGACTTGGTTCCCAAAGTCCCCACAGGAGAATGGAAGAGAAGGGTTTGAGGCATACCTGTCCCATCTAGGGGTGATTTCTCACTTCTTCTCACTGTCTGTCTCTGGTGAGTGCACGCACCATATGGGGAAAAAAATATATCAAAATAAACTCATACTTTAATGCCATTTGTCATGATATTTTTTTTTAAATTTGCCAAAGGGCACACACTATCCAGATAGACACACACACACACACACACACACAGAGAGAGAGAGAGAGAGAGAAAGAGAACGAGAGAAGAAAAGGGAAAGTGAGAAAGCATCCCCCATGGATTCTTTCTCCTCCATTTCTCCCATTCTTCGGTATTTGAACATGCATGCACACCCACTAGCATGTTTTTCAAGCCACCGGCACTGGAGCTGGATCCATGCAGTCAGCCATAGGGGATCCAGACAGCATAACCATCAGCCCAGGAATTGGTCCTTCCATGAACTTTTGAAATCCTTTGAGGATTTATTCATATATATGAAGTTTTTTTTTTTTTTTTTTTAGTTTAGTTTACTCATTCTTCTTAGGTATTTTAATTTTGTATAATATTAAGTGAGGCCATTACAAAACAAAGAGAAAAATACAAGGAAAATATTAAGACTACTTTTCTAGCCCTGTGACAGAACTGTGAATCTGGTGTGACAGAATAAAAGGGCTTCTTTGAACAGTCTAAATGGCAATGCTGGGTAATGAGCTTGTTCTTAGATGAGGCGAAGTCTAGGACACTAAAGGTTTTAGAAGAAAATGTGACAAATAACTTTGTGTTCTTTCTCTCTCTCTTTATTTTTTCCTGGAGGGTGTGTCCCCAGAGAGAGAGAGACAGAGAAAGGGAAAGTGAGACAGCAACCCCCGAGGGATGGTGCTGCTATATTTCTCGTCCTCCATCTCCCCTTTCAGGATGTTAGCTGTGTATACACCCTTGGCATGTTTTAGAAATCACCAAAACCAGGACTCATGTGATTGGCCATGTGGGATCCAGCCACCTTAACCTCTAGCCACCAGCTGCCTGATCACACTCTTAAAACTATACCACATCATTTTATTTTTCATGTTTATACATGATGCAGGTACAGCTTTTGATCATGAATTGATCATTTTAATTACTTCTATGCTATCATATCCTAATCAACACCAAAGGTACCTTCTTCAAAAATGATGACCAAAGGGCCAGATGGTGGCACAGGGGTAAAATACGATGTTCTGCAAAGCAGTTCACAAGGTAAGGTTCCTGGTTCAATTCCAGAGGTCTCCCTGACTATGCCAGGTACACACTGCCCCATCATCTGAGAATGGCTGAAGGCTAGGGTGGACTGTGAGATCAAGCCTCCGTTCAGGGTGCTGTGTCTTCCTCTCTCTCTGACACAAACATTCTCTTTCTCCCTCTCAGAAGACATAAATAAACATATGAGGACCAAAACTGTTTAAATGCATGAAATATATTTGTACATTTTCTTCCACTTAGAATGACTAGTTAATGATTGTACTGTTCACATGGGGTTATAAATTATGTATGGAATTAGGTCTTTTCTGTTCGGCAAAATTCTTCATTTGCTGTTAAAGCTTATATGATATAGTAAAAAGTATCAATCATTGATCAAGAAAATCAAAACAAGGGACTCTTGCCAAAGAGAGTACTTCTTACATTAAATCCACTCAGAGACACAGTTATTCAAGAGATCAGGCAGGCAGATGTCAACCCTTGATATGAGTACAGGTCTGGTTCCTGAATGACTTGTGTAATTTTGGGATGGTTACTGTTCTCATCGGTAATAGAGTGATGATACCAATAGCAACTCATTAGAAATTCGTGAGAATTTTTGGCTGGTATGTGTTCAGTCTAATGTATAGTAGACACCTAAAGGCTTCTTTGGAGACTTATGCAACCAAACACAGGGCTCCCTTTCCCACTCACTTAGAATCAGAGACTATCTTCTCAGGAGGAATAGAACGTTAGCCTTTCTCATCCTGTCCAAGCTTCCTCAACCACAAGGCTGCAGGTGAACCCTGTCAATCAAATATAAATCAGTAAAATACCCTTGAAAATTCCACATTGAAACGCTATAGTATGTTTATAGAAGGTGGGACCAACAGATGGCATAATGGTTACATCGCTGGACTCCCCTGTAGTTGACCCCCATTTGAGTCTGGACCCAGCAACTTGGAATTCATGCTGGATGCGAGTGCATGTGTGCTCAAAATCCTGAGAGGAGGCTGGTAGAGAAGGGACTGTGGGGTGGCCATCCTCCTCGGGGAGTGATTTCACACTTTCTTTCTGTCTCTCTCTGTCTCTCTGGTGAGCACATGTGCCCTATAGCAAAAATATCTCTGGGGGAAAAAAGTAAGTAAGTTATTTATTGTCTAGTTAATTCTGCCTACTTTCTGCTAATAATATTGATGCAGTAAAAAAGTTTTAAATCAGAAAGAAAAACAAATTTAACATATACAGTAGAGTATTAGAAAACATAATTTATATATTCTCACTACAATGTTGTGTTTGCATAGCAGTCGAGGAAAAATAAACATTTGCTCATTTCTACCCACTGTGGGGAAAAACAGAAAATGAACAATTATAGTAGAATGTGTACTAGGGAACAGCTCAGAGCTAAAATGTCTAAGTTTATTTGTTCATCACCAAGTGAATAAAGGTTGCTAACCAAGGTCCCTAAGTCCTGGGTGTGATTAGTGGGGCGAAGTCGCAGAGGGTCTGGGTGTGTGTGTGTGTGTGTGTGTGTGTGTGTGTGCATTTTGTTGATGAGCAGGTCCCCTGCTGAAATTTGATGACTCTGGCATCTTAGAATTACTCTGCAGATAGAGAGGTGTCAGTTGTCTCATGACTGTACTCCTACCAAGAATTTGCATGGCAGATGGCTTAGGAAACAAATGAGACAGGAAGCCAGTCAATATACAACAGATATTCAAGGAGATCCTTTCTGTCCTGTTACTGTTTGCTGGGAATACAATTCTAATAAAAGCTCAGAGTCTGTGGAACTTTTCTACATTACTTTCATACCACTTCAAGATGCAGCGAATACTGTAATCTATGAGCAAAACTGAGGGCAAAATAGGAAACATTTTGTTTTGTGCATTTCGAGTATGGTTTATTAGAAAAGAGTGCAAATACCCATTGGAAAGAGATTGAAGAGGATGATAACTGATCACTTTGTTTAAACCCTTCAGTATGGGCATATTCTATACACCAAGTTAAACATATTTTTTCTTCAAGGTAACTGAACTGCACAACATCAAAAATATAACCAGACTGCCTCGAGAGACAAAGAAGCATGCAGTGGCAATTATCTTTCATGATGAGACGTCGAAGACATTTGCCTGTGAATCAGGTAAGCAATTGCAGGCCCAGCTACCTCCTGAGGAAACTGAGCTGCTTCTGCGACGATAACCCAGACGGATTAAGATACACTGCTGAACAAGATGGCTTATTACAATGAGAACGTGCCCTACAACTTGAGTCAGCTCCACGCAGGGACTTCTGCAGATGTTCTCGGTGCTTGCTGTTGCTTTGCATTTCTGGATTTTGCTCCCAGGTGGTCCAGAACTCTTGAGGTTTCCTTTCAAACTTTAAGGATTAAGTAAGCAATACCTGGGAGGTGTCCTTCCTTCAGCTGAGCCCAGGCCTTTGTTCTGGTTCTTGTCTGGTGAAGACCTAAGCATGTAGGAGCAGTGAGAACCTGTGGGGCCAGAGTATAGGGAAATGCAGCTAACTCCCCAGAATGTGGGGCAGTCTTTAGCTCTCATGGATTCTCGGTACTCTAATTAAATACATTTCAGATTGAGTTTTACCAACCCAGTTCATAAAGCTCTCTGACATTATTGAGACACCAGGCAGTTCGCAGCTTGAACTTGGAGTATTTTCCTCAGTGGAATCCCTGTGCTATGTAATTGTATTAGTTGGCTTATCATTTGCTAAATATTTTGCTCAATGAAATGGTGCATTTACTTTATAAAGAATGTTAGCAGAAAGAACTAAGGGCTTGAAAGATGTGAATTTAAAATAATAGCTAAGTCGTTGGGAGACACTTTACTAGCTCTTTTTTAAGAGGAAAATAAAGTGTCTGGTTGTGTGTAGTTCAGGTTTATAGGTATAAAATTGATACTATCATGTTGCCTAACTAAAATAGCTCACACTTCCTCACCTTCACTTGTCTTAGTTTTGCTCAACTGAATTGAAATTTATCAGAGTATTCCCTTTTGCTGCAATGTACTCATCCATCAGTCCCAACATACTTGTCTTCACTTGCCATCTGACTTCATTTCATTATTTTCAATCACAGTCTTGGAAGTGCCCAGAAGTCTGTTCATTAGTGATATAAATCCCCATTTTGTAGTAAAACCTGTCCCAACCTTATTGCCATAATGCAATTGACCCTTGAAGAATGCAGAGGTTAGGGGCAGACCCTCAACACAGTCAAAAATGAATGTATAACATTGACTTCCCCAAACCGTACCTACTAGTAACCTACTCTTGACCGGGAGCCTTCCTGACAACATAAGTTGATTAACAACTATTTTGTATATTCTATATTAATTATATCCTATATTATTACAACAAAATATGCTAGAGGAAAGAAACATATGAAGGAGAAAATACATTCACCACCCTATACTGTATTTTTCAATATATATTTTGAAAAAAAAAATCCATGTGTAAGTGGGACTGTGCAGTTCAAACCCCTATTGTTCAAGGGTCAGCTCTAAATGTTGAGTATACTCAGAAAACGACAAGACCAACTTCACTGCCACTGTGCAGCGACTTGATAGGAGATTTTCATTCCCAATGTTTGCCTCCTGTCACCATCAATGTCCAGTGAAGAACCAGATCTCAGTTGCAATGTGAGGGCCCTGTGTCTCAGTGTGGGTTATTCTGAAAAGGTTCTCAAGTCCACCACAGGGTCTTTTAGTGAGCTGAGCAGTACTTTAGGGGTCTTCTACACTCCTCTGCCAACTTTGAAATCATCATCCAGGAGATGCTTCCTTTTCTCTGACATGCCGCAGGTGAACTTGTCAAAGATGTTCTTGCCAAATGCAGAAGTCCGGAGGCAGTTTAGTCCTTGGCACTGTTCCACAGGACAGAAGCTGGCCACTTTAGCCTTTGCTCTCTAGTCCTGCCTGCCCGCCCTGCAGAGCGCTCCGTAGACGTCGCTATTCCACACGTGAAAGCTGCAGGTGGAGGTGTGACTTGGCCACGACGTGCCATCGCAGCGATCGCTACCACATTAGCCTCCCTCGGGGAGCTCCAAACGCCAAGATGTATATGTCTGTGGAGGACGCTACTCAGTCCTTCTTGGGTCAAAGAGATAAAATTAAGGAAGATCTATTTGTACAGCGTTAACTTTAGGAAAACTAATTTGGATATTATTATACTGGTTTATTTTCCAGGAAAAACTTGCATCAAGGAATGGACAATAATTTTATTTCAGCTAGGAAAATTTCAAAATATAGGTACTGGGCCCAGCAGGTAGCATGGCAGTTAAGGGCTCTGGACTCCCACATAGTCGACCATGGTTCAAGTCCTAGACCTGGTGACTTGGTCAAATTAAAATAAATAAGTAAAATAAATAAATATTAAATGAAGTTAAATAAAAAGAATTCTGTCAAATATATATATATATATATATATATACACACACACATGATATTAAACTAGAGTCACTAATACCGTTTGGAATCGAAACTGTTAAGTGATGTCTCTCTAAACCCCAGTAAAAATCTCTGAACCTATGATGTAAACTGAACAGTACTAGTTATGTTTAAGATAATCAGAAAGTATCTATATTTCTGACTGAGTCTTCTCATTATTAATTACAAGTGGAAAATGGCTCATTGGAAATGCTAATTAAGGAACTAGGATTGTATAATCACAAAAGATGAGGTTCTATTTTTAAAAGATTTTTTGAATACAGAGAAGCCCCTTGCTGACAAAGACTGTTTCTTCTCCTTTCTGAACTTCGTACTCCCTGTGGAAGTCTGGAAGTCTGAAATTTGAAGTTGTTTGTTTTATTTTTTATTGTGGCATCATGGTACATGTAAAGTTTTTGGAAAATGAAGGGTTCTTGATTAGAAGAAAATGATCTTAATTTTGGAGAGAAGCATTTTCTGGCAGTGTGACTGCAGCTAGATCCAAATATTAAAATAGAAGAATGGTTTTATTTCCATTGAAATCAAAGAGTTTTCGATTAGTTTAAACGGTGACTTACTTAGAAGTATTATCTATGTTTTAAAATCACTTTTTTATGTGTCACTTTTAACAGTCCGCTTAAAAGCCATAACATCAATTATGGGAGAAGTTTCATGTACACAACACAGACAGTATATGACAAACCTATGGCTGATGCGCTCAGTGATGCGAAATGGAAAACTTCCTCTGGAATTGGGAACAGGCCAAGGATGCCTGCTCTCACCACTTCTATTCAGCATAGTATCCTAAGTCCGAGGCAGACACTTAGTCAGGAGAAAGAAATAAAAAGCATCGGAATAGGAAATAATGGGCTGAAATTTCTTCTGTCTTCTGATGAGATGATCTTATACATTGTAGAAAATCCTAGAGACTACACCAGAGAACTGTTAGAACTGATCAGTGGACTCGGAGAATTCCAGGATATGAAATCAACTTATATATACCACTTAGTTGTATAGTAACAATAAACAGGTTAGAGCAAAATGAATCAATAAAATATGTAAGAGAATATTTAGCCTAGAAAGTGAAAGATCTATCTACTGAAAACTATAAAACATTGATGATAACAAAAATAAATGGAAAAATATTTGGGGTTCACAGATTGTAAGACTCAGTGGAATAGGATAGATGGCCTAGATATAAACTCACACATGTATGGTCAATTGATTTCTGACAAAAATACCAAGAACTAAAATTAAGGAAAAGAGAGTCCCTTCAATAAATGGTGACAGGAGGGTACTGAGCAGTGACACAATGGTAACACTACTGGACCCACATGGCAAAGGCCCTGGTCACATCCCAGGACTTCCCTGGGCATGCCAGGGGCACATACCTGTGATTCAGACCAGCTGAAACTGGGAATGGATCGTAACATGAAAACTGTTTGGAGTCTCTCTCTTTCTCTCTCCTCTCTCTTCCCTCCTTTGTTTCGTAAGGAAGAAAGAAACTTAAAGGTTGTTTGGAAAATTGGATACCCACCCATGGAAGAATGAAAATGGACTCCTCCTTTATATAAAAATCAACTTAAAATGGATGAAAGACTTCAATGTAATGGTTGAAACATATAAAATTATTACAAAAGTATACTGAAGAAAAACTTTATGACATTATTCTGGCAGAGACTTCTTGGATATGAATTCAAAAGCACAGACAACAAATGCAAGAATAGATAAATTGAATCACATCAAACTAAAATATTCTGCACATCAGAGAAAAGAAATATAGAGTGAAGAGACAACCTATGGAGAAAACATTTTCAAATCATACATTGAAAAAGAGGTAATATCAAAATATTCAAGGAATTCAAACTACTCAATAACAGGAAATGACCCTGATAAGAAATAGACAAAGGACTTAAATAGACATTTCTTCAAAGAAACATACAGATGGCCAGTAGATAGGTTTTTTTAAATGCTCAATATGTCTAATAAGAAGAGAAAAACAAAATGAAATATTACCTCACTACTGTTAACAAAAAGATGAAAAATGGAAAATTAGATCCCTTAAGGTTGTTGGTGGTTTTATTAATTCATATAGCCATTTTGGAAGGTAGATGGAGTTTCCTCAAAAAGCTAACAGTAGAATTACCTTGTAATCCAGCTATCCCATGACTGGGTATGTACCCAAAGGAATTGAAGTCACTGTGCCAAAGGAATGTCTGCACTCCCATTCACTGCAATACTGTTCACAATAATCAAGATGTGGAAACAGCCTCAGTGTCTATGAACAGATGAATGGATTTTAAAATGTCGTATATACGCAATGAAACACTCTTCAGTCTAAAAATAAACCACTAGAGTCTGTCATTTGTGACAACCAGGATCAACCTAGACGACATTATCTTAAGTGAAATAAGCCAGGCACAGAGAGACAAATGCTATATGACCTCACTTATATGTGGAATCTGAAGTTGAACTCATAAAATCGGGGGCAGGATGGTGACTGCCAGTGGCTTGAGGTGGTGGCCAGAAGGTGGCCAAGGAAAGGTGAGACAGCGCAGTGGATACAGTAAGGCAGAATAAATTCTGGTATTCTATTGCCCAGCAAGATGACTATGCAGGGGGACTTCAAAAAGATCATGGAAAATGGAATTAAAGTTTAGTTTATTTTCGGGCAAAAAAAATTCAGAATCCATGTAGTTTTCTC